AAGGCTCTCACACTCCTGGTTCTCGCCGTAAACGTTGCTTTCCTTTTTCTTGTAGTCACTGTCGTTCCTGGTCGTGTAGGCGGTGGTGTCGTCAACGTTCACGGTGTCCACGATGTAGTTCCTTTGGCTTCCTCTTCTCGTCCATTGCGTATTGGGTCTTGCAAGCGGACTTGTCCATATCGTCATCAACTCACTTTCGTCTGCTTCTTGTGTTCCTTTTCTCTCAAGCCTCCTTTGGCTCTCTCTTCTCCCACGTCTTCCGTCCTTGTTCATCCTTGACCATGGTTAACGGTGTAGCCAAGGGCCTGCCACGACTCTCTCACTGAAAACTTGTAAGTTCCTGGGCCGATCATCATCCCGAGCAAAGTTGCGAAGCATCCCAGGGAAAATCCTATAAGCAGAATAAACCCTGCCACTGTTCCATGGCACCAAGTGAAGTACCGCTCCGGGAAACAATCCTGGCACGGCGCAACGTCCTTGATTCCAGGCGATCCTGCAATGACCATGGTCTGCAGGTGCTGGCAAGCTTTCCTGTGGTACTTGGTTCCTGTCTTCGTGGCGACGGTGACCCTGGGGAGGTCCGCAAGTCTTTCAACGAAGGTGATTTCCTTCTCTCTCTTCCTCATCTCGTAGTAGAAGCCTAAGATGATGCATGTTGTCATGGCGACGAGAAGGCTTCCTGCTACTACTACTAGTAGCATCATCGCTGCCATAAAGGTTCCTGGGTCGGTAGGCAGCTCCGCTACCATGTTAAAGTTCGGGGTTCCAAAAAAACTCACGCTCAGACACAAAGCTCTCCGCTTTTCCTTGAGTGGCGCACAGTCGTGTCCGTTCCTTGAGCCTACGTGTTTCGGGCATCAAGCGTCGTTCCTATACACGGCAAGTACAGTGTTCCTACACTGCGTTAATGTTTAACACAGAAGGAGAATTCGGATGGCTTTGGCCCGGGCCATCTTAGACAAACTGAGAGCGAACGAAAAGGCAAATGGAGAATTCGGATGGCTCCGGCTACGGCCCGGGCAATTTTAGACAAACTGAAAACGAACGAAAGGCAGAAAGAGAATTCGGATGGCTCAGGCCCGGACCATGACAAACAAACTGAAAACAAACGCAAAAGTCAGAAGGAGAATTCGGATGGCTCCGCTCGGGACCATCTTAGACAAAATGAAAGCGAACGAACAGGCAGAAGGAGAATTCGGATGGCTCCGGCCCGGGCCATCTTAGACAAGCTGAAAGCAAACGAAAAAGGCAGAAGGAGAATTCGGATGACTCGGGCCCGGGCCACCTTAGACAAACTGAAAGCGAACGAACAGGCAGAAGGAGAATTCGGATGGCTCCGGCCCGCTGCACGCACCCACCTGGGATCTTTTCGCCCTTTTGCAACACACTCCAACGCAGAGCCTTCAAGCCACTAGAACCAAGTGACGCCGACGTGGCGTCCCACACAACATCTCGAAAGCGCGAATAAGGAACAATGGACGCTGTTCGAGATGACCACTTTTAGCATAGCGGATGCTTTTGAACCCAGGCTTTGAATGTTGGAGCGTTTCTTCAGATGGTTGTTGGCATCATCGGCTCGCCGTCGTTCCACCTTTGAGACTTGGGAAGTTGGGCTTTATGGACCGATGTTTTACGGGCCGAGTCCCCTTTCGGGTGTCAATGTCTAAAGTTCGTGAGCGCGGTAAACACCATGGGGTTCTTGCGTTGGGATTAAAAAGAGTTGGTTGGCATGTAACGCCACGCAGCTCCCGCTGTGATGTTGCTTGCACAGGTCTAACCTCTTATTTATTGAGGATCCTCTGTGCTGCCGTCTCTCGGAGAGCCGCATTCATTCTGACTCACGACTATGGGCCAGTTCTTTGCTTCGACCATCCTGACTCGCAGCAGTACTCAGCGGAAGGATTAGATTGTGCTGAATGCCACAGTTAAAGGCGCCGTGGCCATGCTCCTGAAATGTGCCAGTACGTGGAGGAAAGCAGTCAGGTCTCGTAGTGGTTTTGTGGCGGTCTCGTGTTTTTGTCGCAGTCGTCCTCGTGGTCGGCACACACTAGACCTTGTAAGATTTGTCTGTAGGAGTTTTGGAGCACACGCGATTTGCCGGTGAAGTCCTGCGGCATGTCCGCACAAACCGAAATCGGGCTGGGCCGCGGACGAGCTGCTTCGCAGCCTCGGCCTCAGGCGACACGAATTTACCCCCGAAGCTGCACCCGGGGCCATCCCGGCCCGGCTGGGCCTGGCGGAGACCGTGGCAGGCCTGAATCATACCACGTAGCATTTGGACAGCCCTCATCCGCCGAGGCCAGCACCTGCCAGCTCTGGCCTCAGAACATTGCGAAGCCACTGCAGGACTAGGACTGCGAGCACTGCGTGCTGCACTGCTAGTGTGTGTGTGTGTGGATGTGTGTAGTCGCGGTGTATTTTTTTGCGGCTCTCGGGAGCCGGGCTCTTCAGAGCCTGCACTCTGCAGGCTCGGCCGCAGGATCGGCCGAAACCTTCCGTCGCCGCTGTCGCCGCTGTCGCCGTATTCGCATTCCCGTGCATCGCCTGCATGGCGGCTCCGTGCCCGGGGCTTGCAAAGGGGCCGAAGACATTGCAGGGAGCGGTTGCAGACCTGTTGCGCTAGGCCGTAGAGGCGTAGCTGAGAAACCTCCCGAAAAAGAAGTAAGGGAGCCCCGTCGAAGGCGGCTAAGGCGGCTAAGGTGGGGGGCCAAACCGAGCCGCAGCTCTGGTCGTCGGAGCCAAGCCTTGATCCGCTGATAAGAGGCTTTGCTGCACAAGCCATCAGAACCACGATCTGTGCCCCAGGCTAGTGCCCTCTTTGTTTCCTGGTTCATGGGCTCCAGGATGGCGCACACCGCCTCATGTAAGTCCTGGCACAGCAGAGAGACGAAGCACAAGTTCGCCTGTGCCACCAACAATTTCAACTTCCGTCTCTCATCTCTCTCAGGCCCAGCGGTACCATGCTCTACGCTGGGGGTATATCTAAATGTATGTGTATGTATGCATGCATGCATGCATGCATGCATGTATATATATATATATTACTGTGTTGAAGCATTGCCTATACACACATAAACTACATACATACATACATACATACATACATACATACATACATACATACATACATACATACACACACACATACACACATACGTACATACATGCGCATATACGTACATACGTACATACATACATACATACATACGTACATACATACACACATACATATACACACACACATACACATATACACACACACACACAAACACACATTCACACATACATGCATACGTACATACATGCATACATGCATGCATACGTACATACATGCATGTATGCGTACATACGTACATACGTGCATACATACATACATACATACGTACATGCATACATACGTACATACGTACACACATACATACATACATACGTACGTACGTACATACATACATACATACACACACATACAGACATACATACATGCATACATATGACATATACATATACATATGCATATATGTATATGTATATGTATCTGTGTCCGTATGTGTGTGTATCTGTATGTGTATGTATATGTATTATATGTATATACATATACATATACATATACATAACGTACACAGGTACGCACATGCATATACACACATGCACTGTGTCATGATATGGATTTATCTCCCAAGAGTCCTCGTGCAGATCGGTCGCACCTACGGATATCGCGCGCAGACTCGCTCGCTCGCTCGCTCAATCGCTCGCAGGCAGGCACGCAGGCACGCGCTCCCTAAACACTTGATGATCGCTAAAACATTTTTTCGTCCAGCTGCATCCCTATTTCACCTATCACTTTGATCAGGTTGCCGCTCCTCGACCCTCGTTAGAATTCAAGCACGTTGCCTGACTCGATGTGAGGTTTTCCTTGGTTGGGTGCCTTCCAACTTCCCGGCCTCCAGCGTTGGGTGCAGAACACTTGCGTCCAAAAGGCACGCTCAGGATGTAGGAATTTCCGGTGGGAAATCCCATGTGGCGACTCCGAGACTGGACCTGCACCCAAGCTTCGGAGCTCTGGGCGCCGGCGGCTTTCGCAGTGACGATTCTCTGGGAAAAACATCTTCGCAGTCTGGCCCTGGCAATGTGGAGACCCTGCGCGGTGTTTTAATCTGGCATGCAACAAGCCCGGCGACGACCCGAAGGGTCAGGCGTCACTACTACAGCGTGGGAAACGAAGACGGCGACCGTTGCACTTCATGGACCGCTCCGAGAGCAAGTCCTCAACACCTTTATTCAGCCTCACTTCAGGCTTTGCCGCAAAGCAGAGGCCAGTGGAGTCCAGAGTCTCTGAGTGGCTAAACTGGCACTGAAGGCACTGCAGGTCTTGGCCCAAAACACAACGGCCTCAAACAAGAAGATCTGCCAGTCGGCACGCTCAAGAGACTGTCAGTCAATATCCCAGCTCCGACAAGAGAGCACTGTTGGTGCATTGCTGCCGTCGCTTCATCCCCGGCCCCATAAAACCCAAGACACGTTCCTCTGCTGTCAGCAAGGCCGCCAGTTCTGGTGAGAGTCCCACCAGAAGCTGCCGCACCTCGGAGCTTTGATAAGAGCTTCAAAGACACGCCGGCCCGGCGGCAGCCGGGCCAGGCCGCAGCAGCGGCCCCCAGTCCCCAGCCTGCCTGCAAGGGAGCCGGGGCCCTCTTTGGCGCCAGCTCGCTGCCCTCAGCGCCCTCCGCGCCGCCGCCGCCCAGCGCGAGGAGGCCCAGGCGCGGGGCGGCGGAGAGGTAGCGCTGCGTGAGCTCGCGGAGCACTCGCCCCGGCACCAGGTGCAGTCGCTCTTTCAAGAGCCTCGGACACCGAAACCTTCAAGGGCCTCAGTTTTACGAGCCCTGGGTCCGCAGCAGCCCTTGAAGCTGGTCTGCCAGTAGCAACACCAGGCCTCGAGGATTCGAGATCTTCGAGATCTGACTCGCCCGTTCCACTTCTCTGATAGCCCGCCTGCAGCCAGAAGTGCTGCGCTGCAAAAGAGCTCGGACCTTGGCGACGGCATCTGCAGGCAGGTGCAGGCAGGTGCAGGCGGGCATGGGCCCCGTGCGGTAGGCTGGCGAGCAGCAGGCGCCTCGGAAACGAAAAGGCCCCCATGACACGCTGGCGCAGCTCCGCCTGGGCCTGGGCCTGGGCCTGGGCTTCCGCGCAGCTGTTGCAGGAGTCCCAGGGACCCCAAGAGGCCCAGGGCCAGTCCCGGAAAGAGCAACGCGGCGGGCGCGGCCTCCGCGGCCTCCGCCCTGCACGAACGGAATTTTGCTAGGAACTGACGGGATTGTGTCTTCACTCCGAGTGCCTGCACGGCGCCATGCTCCGCGACGAACTCCAAACTGTCTCCCAAAGCCCTACTAAACCCTGTTCTTTTTCTTCCTCTCCTACCTGCGTCCTGCCTCTGACATTGGCTCTGAACCATTCTGAACCGACCTGACAAAGGGTTGATGCATGGAAGAAGCCGCGGGAGCGGCGCGTCGAGTGATTTTTGGAGCCCAGGTCAACTGCCACACGCGAGCTGAGACGGAGAGCAGCTCTTTGTCTTTTTCGCAGATGCACTAGAGAGATGCAGAGACAAACAAGAGGGGTCGGTGTCCACCCAAAAATACGGTGCTGATGTTTCGCTCTTCTCAGACGGCACTGGCGCCGGAGATGATCTCGCAGAGCTCCGTGGTGATCTTGGCCTGCCGGGCCCGGTTGTACTGCAACTCCACCTTTCCGTACATCTCCCCGGCGTTCTTCGAGGCGTTCTCCATGGCGTTCATCCGCTGCGCCGTCTCCGTGGTGGTGCTCTGGATCACGGAGCCGTAGATCACGCAGCCGTAGTAGAACTCGTGGAGGTCCTACCGCGGGCGGAGGCACTAAAGGTGGGCTCTTCCGTGCCGTGAGATTATCATCGCCTTAGGATTTAGCACTGCAGATCTCGTATCATCTCCATCAGACGGTCCAAGTCTATCCGGCATCCTCTGCAGGCTTGGCTGGGTCATCCGGGGTCCCTGCTTCAGAGCTTCTTGCCATGACTTGCCTTCCGTCATTGTGGATTGCCAGCAGACAACGTGTGGCTGCCAGGGCATGCAGGATCATTTAGACGTCAACGTGATGTTACGCACGACGTGCCCTGCCCACCGACGATCAGAAGAAATGGGGTATCCTCGAGGACAAGGATATACCCCGGCCCGTGCCTTGTATGAGAACGATCCATCTCCCGTGCCAGTGCTATTTGCATGCCAAATAACAAACAAAACACACACAGAGACATAGATAAGATAGACCGATAGACAGATCTTGAGGCAGGCAGGCAAACAGGCACGTACACAAAACAAAGCAGGCACACACACAACATAAACAAAAACAACACCGTTACGGTGGCTTCCTGCCAGACTTCGTAGATGGAAGGCTCAAAGGAGTAGACGTCCATTGCCTTGGTCCACTCCCCTCGGTCCATTCCAGTGGCCTCCGACAAGCAAGAGCACCAGCTAAGCGCAGGCTCAGCGCACTCTCGGAAGCTGGACTCCCTTCCTCGTCGACGGTGTAGGTATGATGGGCAATCGTGTCGTAGGAGACCATGGACTTGAACTCATTGCTCACAACCTGCTGAAGCGGCTCGAGCATCGCGGTTCTCTGCGGCCAGCGACCTGGCCTTGCAGCGTGCCGGCTTGCTGGCAGCAATGCGCTCCGCGATGACGGAGGCGGCAGCAAACGTAAAGGGCACTTTGGAGCATTCCTCAAGAACGGAAGACGGTGCGTTGGAAACAATAAACCAGGCAGGCAAGGGCGCGTGGCAACGCGTGAGCCTCGAAGGTGGTGCTAAATCGATCGCCATAGAGGCGCTTCAGCGCTGCGACACCCTGCGAAGAAGGAGGGAGAGGGAGAGAGACCGAGAGAGAGCGAGAGAGACACGCGCGCAGGCGGAGGTACAAGCACTGCCTTGCCACCCACCACCATGATCTTGGAGACGTTTCCCTTCGCCTCTTCGGCTGTCACGCCCAAGCGCACCTGCTTGGCGACCTCGGTCGGGTGGCCAAGGCCGTTAATCGCCAGTGTTTATCAAAAGGTTAAATGGTATATTTATTATATAGATGATAGAAGAGAAGGTTGCCTCTGCTTACAGGCCAAGGCGCTGCAGTATTCACGCCTCCGCAAAGGCCCTTGTCAGAGGTGACGGCCACGTAGGTAACCCCTCCGGCCTACCAGGCGCCAGTCATCCCCCATTGGGCCCCTTTACATAAGGGTAAGTCCGCCCACGCCTTCTCCTCTACTGGCAAGCGCTGGAACAGGTTGAGAACAGGCTTGGCAAAGGGCAGGCTGCTTTCCATCGTCCTGATCTAAACATCTCCCCCCCCCCCCACCCCTTTCCCTCTTCGGGTCAATGGTGGCCGTCCGAGTCCTCATGTCCTTCTTGAACTTGGCCGTTGCCACCATCTTCATAGCCTGGGTCAAGAGGGGATGCCGCGTCTTTGTCTTAGGGTCTAGCATTGGCCATTCAGTCCTTGGTGATCTTCTGCATGTTCTTGATGGCTTTCATGCGTATTGAGAGTGTCTTCAGTGTGGCGGCGCCCCGCGTTTGCTGGCCCACGGCGGTGTTGGACGGTGGTTCCAAGGCGCTGCATGTTGGCAAGCGCCACGCTGTGGCCGCCCCCACGCGGCGTGGGACCAGGGGCCCAAGCCTGGCGGGCGGAAAGCAAACAAAACACCACCGCGGTCGGTTTTTTGGCGCTTCGCTTTGGGTGAACCGACCGCCTTGAGAACATGGAAAGCATCGAGCGCGAGCGGCTCAGCGAGCGCAGGCGCTTCCGCGACTCGTGTTTCTCTACCTGAAGCCGAAAGCCACAGGCTCCTGTGACGAGCATGGCAGCATCGAAAAGAGGAGGCGCTCGGACTCATCCAAAGACTCCCACTCTTTTTGTTGCCTTCGGAAGCTGCACGCGCACAACTTCAGTAGACAGCTCTGGGAAGGGACGGGGTCTCGGGGCTCCAGATCTGTAGCCTTTATGGCACGAACGGGGGCCTCCCCGAGAGACGGGGGGGTAAGTCCCCTGTGTCACGTCCGTCGCTCTCCTCTCTCGAAGCCCGACCTGGCAGCTGAGGTAGGCAGCGAGAGTTTCCACGCAAACGCTTCCCATCGGCAATGAATCGACGGCCTCTTTTGACGTCGGTTAAAAGAAACCACAATTCAGGTCACATCATCCATCGCATCATGAGATCACCTTCGGCCCACAGGCTCGTCGACATGTCCACGGAGCATCACTGTTTAAAGCTGGTCTGAGATTAAAGCTACTGCTCCGCAAAGCCCTTGAATACGTACGGGAGTCTGGGTAGCCCAGAACTTCCACTGGCTCTTTACCGATGTTCTTGTCCGAAGGGAGTCCGCCTGTGGATTTCGCAGGCAAGCGACGCGCCTGCTTTTGGCCGGGCTGGTTGCCGAGGTTGCTGAGGTAATTGGGGAAAAGGCCTCACGCTTTCACCGGCTTCCATGGCTACAGTCTCTATTCGTCTCTATGCTCTGCGGTGCTCACCGATGCACGCTCTATCCTGAACGGCGATCGCATCCTCTTCGCTGGAGCTGTCTTCCAAAGTGGCCACCGAAGACAGTGACAGGTGCCTGCGAAGCCGAGTGCACAAAGAGACAGCTCCTTGATCTCGACGCTCTCACAGTTAGCGCTGCCTGTTCCAGAGCATCTGCCAGTTAGGCCTCAACATCCGTGGCACATTCCGCGGGGCGGTTCTATCATCGTTGACAGGAGCGACGATGCGGAACAGAGTTCAGCCTATGCAGCCTATGCATGTGTACTAGCATCTATACCACTATTACTCACTATACGGTCTCTACATCCAAGAGAGGGGGGATTTCGCCGGCCGCTGGTCGCACTCCGAATGCCCTCTAGGCCGCGGCCTCCGCTCATCTCGGCGCACTGCATCGCGCAGTCTGGCAGAAAGGCAGACAGGCAGACAGGCTTCACCCCAGGCTGGACGGCATATCTCGCTCTCTCTCTCTCTCTCTTCTGTGGCTCCCGGCAGGGCCCAGCGCGCGGCCGCGGAAGCCGGGGAGACCTGACGTCGGAGCAATTGGCCGCCATTGCCCTCTGTGTGGCGGCGCTCTGAGCGCTCGCCTCCTCCTCGGGCTCCTCGGGCTCCGTTTCCTTGTGTGACCTCGGCATCCGGGCTCCAGAGACGTCGGAGGTCGCTGTCCCTGGTGTCTCTTCCCGGAGGCCAAGACAGAGCGGTTGCAGCGGAAGCACCTCAGAATCTGGGGATCGGTGTCGTGCAGGCAGTGCGTCCAGTTTTTGGTGGCGGGCTTCGGGGTCTCAGGGCTTCTCCCGCCATGGGCACCAGGCGGCACCTGCAGAGACGGTGAGAAGTGTCACAGCTGGGAAAGTGCAGCGCGGAATCAAAAGCCAGACCAAAAACTCACCCTGCGCCTGGGCTCCGCCTGGGTTGTGGCTCCCGGCGGCAGGCCCTTGGCCCACTCCAGCGTCGTCAGCCCCGTGAGGGCCAAGTAGGCATGGAGAGCTGCGATTCGCAGAAGTAAATGCACATGGCATGCCAGAATCTGCCCCGCAAAGCTGTAGCCTAAGAGGATGAGCAGCCAGACGCTGGTTAGCGCGGCGAGGGAAGCCGCGGCCTTCACACAGAGCCGCTTAAGTGGGCGGGCGAGTCAAGCAAGGGCTCCCTTCGAAGGCTCGGTTTCCGGCTAGGACAACTGGCCGGTGCCCCACGGCCAGCCGCCGACTGAATTGAGAAAACAAGGCAACGCTAAGCCGCTAAGCAACAAGAGTTCGGGGGCACCTTGACAGGTTGACTCAAGGAGTGAAGGTGAAATGCGCGAATTCATCACATCGGGCGCACGGGCCTGCGGATGTGGCGACTGCGGAAAAGGGCCGAAGCAGTGATGCAGCAACCTGCGAAGTGTGGCAGTCTGCAAGAGTACTTTTCAAACGCCATAGCAGCATGTCTCCTGTCTCCTGAGGCCGCTGCTAAGAAGGGTCCAAAGGCAGAGTGACACCACGAAGACGACCCAGGGGCGGTAGTTGCCCACGCCGATGCACTGGGAAAGGGAGAGGGGACAGGCGGGCAACAAACAGCCAATGGAAAACAGTGCGCGCGAGATTTCTCCTTGTCGGCCTCGAGAAGGTCCCACATACACACACACACACACAATCACACACACACACACACGCGCGCGCACAGAGACACAAACACAGACACAGACACAAACACAGACACACACACACACACCAGCGACTAAGATTATGCGTGTGGCCTAACTTAAGATATAGATGCGAATAACCCCCATTATAACTATAACTATAACCCCTTTATAACTTTGCTGTCCTTGTAGTAAGTTCCTGCTAACTTTGGGAGGTCAGTAGAAAATAATAATAGGAAGATATAGAAGTCAATAAGTCCAAGTAAACTTCATAGCTACGTTTTCTGGCGTGATTTCATTTACTCTGCTTTAGTTTGACTTAGGCAGGTTTGTGTTAAGTTGTTTTCCTTGTTAGTCACTGATGTGTTTTTCTTTGGCTGCACTCTGCAAAAATAAGAGCAGATTTAATGTCTAGGGTGTAAGTGTTTACGAACACCATCACCAGGTTTAGGGCCTTTAAGGTTTACCACCACCGCCACCACCACCAACAACATTCATTCACCCGCAGCGGGACGGTGCGTGCGACTTGGTGAAACTCTTCCTCGCTTTGCGAATGTCTGACCTACGACTGGCTCGCGATTGTCCTTCTCTCTGCTCGTTGGATGCGGATTTCTTCCGTAAAGTGAAACACAGACTTTACTTGGGAAATAGCTCCACTCATCATCGAACGCACATGTTTCCGCTCGTTCTGAAGAGCAACTCTTCCGGACACAGCCCGCTGCAGGCCGCGACGCAGCCCTGCACCTGCATGCGTCCAGTGTCCCGCAGGACAGCAGACTACGGGCCGTTGGGTTTTTATGTTAGTGGCGGACTTATATGATACTGCAGGAGTGGAGAACCTTCCTTGCGACGCCAGAAGGAGCATCTCCACTCTTGGCTTGCGCTAGGCCGACAGCGCTTTGGCAGGATCACTGTCGGGAAACACACTTGCAGACCAGTCATCCTTACTTAAACGGATGCTGTGGGTGCTAGCTTGCTACATTATAACTTATCGGCTTGCCAGGTTTTTGGCCTAGCGGCATAGCCTGGCTGGCATTGCAAATGCAGGTACGCTGGGACGATCAATCCCAGTATCCTGAAGTCACCATAGAGAGCTTCGTTGGGGAGAGCTCTATGGGCCTCCTCTGCAGCCCTGCTTTTTGAGCACTAATGCCGCCTACATCTTTCGAAACAGAAGTTGCGCACACAGACACACACACCCACACCCAGACACAGTCGTGCAACCTCCCTCTTGATTACCTGACTTGTTGTTTGGACTTTCTCTACGGAGGTGCAGATGTGAAGCCACATTGGCGGTAAGTTATTTCAATCACTGAAACCGACTGACGTAGAGAAGGCGCCCCTTCTTCGCCTCACTATACAATAAAAGCGTCTTCGTTGGCAGGGGACTCTCAATGCATACTTAAACTTGTTGATGCATGTTTCAACTTGATCGTTCAGACAATCTCTACAAAACCGGTCGCATTGTGATAGAATCTGTACTGAAAGAACAGCAAGACAGATGGTGACCCCATTGACGTAGTCGAATGGAAGATGACACCAGCACGGCTCAGAAGTTCGATATATGTTCTGCCAGCAGCTGAAATAGGTGCTGGAAACTGTCCGCTGAGCAAACGACCAAATCAAGACATAGGTGTCGTGCATAGGGCACGAACCGATCAATGCCAACATAGGCCTGACATCGAACCAAATTTCCTGGTTAAGGAATGCCCGTTTGATCCGCTGTTCTTTCGATGGCTTCGCACTGCGGGGGGATGGCTACGGATGTTGGCTTCTAATAAGAGCCAAATGAGAACACGAATCAACTACCATCTCAGCTATAAGCGTCACGACAACACTTAGTACCAGCGCGGCTTGTTTGTACGTTGACGGTATAATGCTCCAACACTTGATTGAGTTTGCGCTTGTTGGGTTTGCCTGCCTTGGACAATGCTTTTGAAAGTTTCCAAAACTGAGCATGAGCTTGGCTGCAAGTCTTTTCTGTAGTCACAGATGTGACACCGAGGACCTTAAGAATGTTGAAAAAAGTTCCATGACGTGTGCAACTGTTGCGCCGCGTCACGAGACATAGCTGGAGACCGAAATGTGCTGTAAACAAAAGCTTCGGTCACAGTACATGTCTGATATGCGGACTTGAATTCCAATTCTATCGGGAACGATGATGGAGTCGTAACGATCTTTGGACGTTGACTCAACTTTTGGCGGCATCGGCTCGAGTTACTCTCAGTCGCGGACGATGTAGTGGTTGATGTAGTGGTTTGAGCTGAAACCGATATCGAAGACGAAGATGAAGTAGAGTCGAAGATTCGGAAGAACTGGTTGTAGCGGAAGCCTCTTGTCAACGTTTGGTCGATTTCTTGGACTTGATCCTGGACTTGCGCTGCTTTCGAAGGCGACACACACACACATGCACACAGAGACCGACCGCGGAGGCAGCTCTCTGCCCGTGAGACCGCATGCGACGGCTGGGCCGCCAAGCCGTGTTGAGCCAGAGGCAGTGATGGTCAAAGCCAGCCACGCACTTCTCACCTCACGGGGAAGCCTAGCCGCCGCGATGTGGACGAGAAGACTCTGGGCGCTGCACATCGACGGCAGTGCCGAGTCTTCGGCACCAGCTGGAAGACGCACCTAAAAAAGCGCTGCCATGGCAGCCAACTCTGATTCTGTCCATGGCTGAGGCCGCTGCCCGTGCTTGCAGCGTCCCACGCGACCTCAGAAAGGCGGCCCCAAAACCGGTGGGCGAAAATTCCTGGGCGACGGGTGCCGTGCCTTTGCTGGGCCGCCGAGCTCTCGGGTCCTGCAACAAACCCAACGCGACTCGGAGGAGACACGCCGTTCTTGGGGGCTCTTCTGGCTTTTATGAGGCCCCGGGCGTAGTGCAGGAGCCAGGCCAGCAACGGCAGCCAAACTGTGGGAACGGCTAAACTGCTGTCACGCGAGCGCCTTGCTTTTTCTTAAGCACCGGGCTGAAGAGGAGCCCTGCCCAGGCCTGTTAGCGTTTGAGCGCGCGCGCCAAGCACACAGCCGCGCGGCGCGCGAGGCCGTCCCTCCCTCCCCCCTCCCGCCCCTCCCGCGGCACCTGCCGCGCCAAGAGGTCGAAGTCGCTCGGGTCTGGAGGCAGATCTGGCGCCAGAGCAGAGCAGCGATGATTGGACATGTTACAGGAGAGCATCAGAGAGCAGGGATATGACATATATATATATAATTTATGTATAGATAGATGAGCACATGGTAGGGATATGGAAGCAAAGGGTAGGACAGGGTCAGGGGAGCATAGGATAGGGCAGGGTAGGACAGGAGATCATAGGATAGGATGATCGTGATATGATGTGAGATGTTGTGATACCGATGCGAAGTGATGTCATACGATGTGATAATATAATGATATGATGATATGCTGTGCATCCTCGCACCCCTGAGTTTCAGCGACGTTCTGCGCGTGATCAGCTCCTGCAGCTCCCCACGCGAAAACCTCTCCAAAATCGCCGCGCGAGGCTGGAAGACAGAATGTGTGGACCCCGTCGAAGTTGCGGGAGCTGCTTGGACAGGAATTCGTGGTTTCTGGGGCGTTTCTGGGGCGGCCCCGGCCCTTCAGATGTGGCTCAGGAAAGAATGGAAGATATAAACACGTTGTTTCTAAATGCCAGGACCAGGACGTCAGGTTACACACTGAAGAGGCTCCGTGGGAAACTTCTATAGGGCAAGCGAACTTTCAGAAGTGCGGCCGCACAGAACTGGCGCCGGGTGTGCATTTCGCGATGAGGACGCCCGCCATGAACAAAAGCAGCAAAGCTGCAGCCCATTGGCTGTGGGCCGAGTACCTCCCGGAGGCCAGAAGTCCGAAGGGCCTGTAGTTTTTCTAAGCATTATATAAGCCCGAAACACACCCGAAACTGAGGCTAAAGAAGAGCCCTTTTCCATTGCGAGATCTGCCAGCAGCCAGGTCCCTTGTCGAAGTTGGGGCAGTCAGCGGCGGCACAGCGCGCGGCTGAGGTCGCTGGGGGCGATCCACCTGAGACACAAAAAAAGGGACCCCTTCGCCAATGGCACAGCACATCCTGGCAGGTGCAGGCTCCCTTTCCTTGAACTTGCCTGGAGGTTGACATAGCCAAGGGCCAAGATGCAGGAAAAAAGAAAGCAGAGTTGCAGCAAAGACGTTGCCAACTCGGGAGTAGTCCCGACATCATCAACATGCCCCACTAATCCCCACTACACTGCAAGGTCAGTGTGATTGCAGTGGAATCAAAGTTGAACTGGCCCGGGGGCCACGCTTGCGCCCGAGCTCGAAGGCCACTTCCACGCTCCCCTGCGGAACCTTCTCAGTGGCCTGAGCACTCTCAGGCCGCGATTCCGGGTGGCGGTCGCGGCGCTTCACAACAAGGGCGGCGGTCCCGCTCGGCCAGGTTCACGACTTCGCCATCACACCTGCCATAGGCCGCCAAAGGCATTGCAAGAGGCAGGATCTGAAGGAAGACTACAATGAGAGTCTATAGTCTATATAGGTCAAAGAAAAGACGTGTGTGGCCAGGCCAGCGCTGCGCCGAGTTGGACCAAACCGAGCACCTCACGAAACTGCCCACTCGTGTCTCTCTTGATATATGAGCGGTGGAGTGTAAAGGAGTGGTACGATGGTGGTCTCCCTTAAGAACTTCACGTGCTGCCATGTTTCTGGCCGCCTATATGAGAAGTCTTCGTTAGATGCCGCCTGTCGCCGCGGCGCCACGGCTCCAGCGGAAGCGCCGCCGCGGCCGGCACGGCCGGCACGGCCGGCGCAGCCGGCGCCGCCGCGGGGCCTGCGGGGGCCGGAGGCGCCTCCTGCGAGCTGCTCCAAGCACGCGCCTCTTGCTCCTCGTGCTGCTGCATGCTTTTTGGCCATGTCCTCCGCCAAGAGCGCAGCGCGCAGCGTCGGCCGGCGTCGCAGCAATGGCCTGTGACAGGCCGAGGCTCTCAGGTGGCAGAGTTCCCGTTTTCATCCGGCAATGTGCCTGTGTGCCCACCTCTTTTTTGCGCTCACGGCTGCAACGAGCTGTGGGGAGATTCACGGGGAGGGGCTCGGGATGCCTTTTGCACCTGTGCCCTGCACTCAAACCGGAGTTGCTTGCAGGTCTCGGTCTCAAACTTCTTCCTTCTCTTTCTCTGCTTTCTCCAGGGTGGCACTCATGACCTGAAGGGCCGAGGACATTTCTGCGGATGCGGGACTTCCTTCTAGGAGCGCCTCTCGTGCGAGGTCCATGAGCTCGTGCCCAGGAATCCGCCCCTGCTCCTCAAATTTGGAGCAGAAGCAGCCGCAGAAAAAGGCTCAAGCCGGGCTACAGTAGAACCGGGGGCCTGTGGGTTGGCTTTCCCTTTCTTCTCCTGAATCCAGCTGGCCACCTTGTCCTCGTCTTGCAGGACCTCGTTTTTTCTCTGCAAGCAGCTCCTAATCACCTAATCGCCGGCTGGGCTGATTGCAAAGCCGGGCTCCCGGCGGACTTCAGTGCGATGCACAGCTCGTGCTCGTACTTCTCGGGATCTCAGCAGGGACTAAGTCTCAGGGACACAGTGCCCTGGCTTGGGCAGCGGCGTGCACTGAAGAGGACCAAGGCCAGCATGGCGCTGCTCCTGCCCAAAGCTTTGCCTCTCACTGCAGCGGAAACCCCCGAGCTGCCGCGCTGCCTACCGGGCACCGGGTTGCAGCCAGCCACTGTGGCGTTGGTGAGGAAACGCAGGTTGCAGAGGCCCAAACCGACAGAGCGCACCTCCAAGGCGAGAGTGGCCAATGTGCCAATGGCCATTCTATGAGACGTTGAGGTTGGCGCAGCCTTCATGTCATGGATGCGGTGCCCAAAACTAACCGTGCACCGAACATCTCAAGGGGCGGTAGATGCAGGTGAGTATAATCGATTGTACTGTAAGAATGCCGCGGTATGTACATGTAGCGTTACATATGTATGTCTATATATGTACTATAAACACATCCGTACATTCCGTACATATCCTGTTTAATATACATACATCTGAGCTTTGCGCTCTGCCTCGGTCTCTAGCTTCTCCATGTCGAAGCCTGGGGCCGCCTCTGCGAAACGGCAGGGGCCGCGCCCTTTCTGTGTGCCTATAAGGAGGAGAAGTCCTCCGCGTCGGCTTGCCATTATTAGCGCCTGTTGCAGGGCAAGCTTGCAAACGTCGAAGAAGTCGTCCAGCTCCTCGTCGGTGAGCCGGGCATCCTCAAAGGCTCGCTGGTCTCTGGGGGTTTTCACCTGCGGCGCGCTGACTGCGCAGACTGCGCAGACTGCGGACATTTCCGTGGATGTTTGATGGGACAACTTAAGGTGGTGTGGACTTGGCAAAGTACACACAACGTGCCGCTTGGCAAGTGAAACATATAATTTGAAGACATTTGAAATCGGTTGAAGACGCTTGCAGAGTATGCGCGAGTGAAATGTGAAACGCATGCGGGTGCATCGCACGCAAACCAAACACATCACATAATGTAGCTGGGAATCTTAGAGGGGCAGACTCTTCAACACCACGCTCACGAAACTTCTTTCTGCTTTGACATTGCGTTTCGCGGAATGAAGATTGGTCTTTCAGATGATTTGCCTGTCCCGTTCTTCAGCAACAGCTTGATCGAACTCGCGCTCAACTGGTCGTCTTCTTTTGAGCGTGCGGCAATGCGCATCACTACCACTACGCAGTTGTATGTAACCGCAACGAGGTTAATTACATTGTCTGAGAAGGCTTGGACAACCGACGAAACAATAGCTTGACTCACCCAAGTCTAGGCGTTCACACAAGTTTTTTGTTCTTTGAGACGGCGCTGGTTGTTTGTCTGAGCAACTTCAAGCAGAGGTCCAGAGAGGCCTGAAGACTAGCGCTTCGGAATCAGAATTGGTCCACCATTCACCGATGATAGTCGTTCCACGTTGTTGTATTTGCAGCTTGTGCCGGCATTCATGTTGGACTCATGTATTCGTGCGTGGCGACAATGCCTATATACCTATGCACAAAGCCGCGGCAGCCGACGTCCAAGATTCCATCTCCGATCAATGATGTGCAACATGAGCATTGTTCAAGAATCACGAAGTGCCGTAGCAAATCTTGCATGGCTAGACGTGGCTACTTCTTGAATCTGCTTTGCACAAGCACAGTTTCCGCATTGCTCGGGTTGGTGGTATAGTCATGTACACTCGCGGACCTTGAACAGCTGCTGCACAGTTGTTTCGCCTTTAGGATTTGCGGCGGATGTGCCGAGTCATCGAGGATGCTGCGGTGGAATCACGACCATCATGATCATCAGCGCTGCTTGTGGCAGTTACAGCTGCGTTGGCATAAGTTGGCATGTTCGCCTTTGCGCTGCTTGGTGAGCACGTCGGGACGCACGGCTGAACGATGAGAGGTGGGCTTAGAGACAACCTCAATGGGCTTGGGACTGCCGGAAGTTGCGCGGAGGGCTTTCTGCTCGCTTCTGCCTCAAAAGGGGGCTCTTCGGTGCTTTTAGGTCTAAGCTTGATGTCTTCTTTGTCGACCCTCACTGATGCCGGTCGTGAATGCCTCTTTAGTTCGAACGCATGGTGGGTCGTTGATCGTTGCGGTGTTTCTTCATCTTAGGAAAGAAGCACCGGCATCCGCATCTGGCATAGAACGCTCGCTTGTATGGAGTATTGCAGTCAGCTCCTGTTGGGAGCTCTACGGCATGCTTATGGCTGCGGTTCCGACCATTTCGTCTCTCGTGTAATTGCTACCACGTTCACGATCCATCGTTTTTCCATAGGAGACGAGCGATGGATACTGCGGCAGGCGCATCGTCTGGTTCGACCAACAGACTTCTGAAGACGGTGGAGGTTGGGCTTAGTTGCCGGGGTGTGGCCTAGTAGGACTCCGACCCTTACGAGCCGCTTTTCGAGAAGCAGGCGGAAGGCGGTCCCGGCTGTCGTCTGCGTTCATGAAGGCTTCAAGCATTAGCTGCAGCTGTTCCACCTGAAAAACGGCCGCTGCAGCACATTGCATGGCACTCGCCAGAGCATGGCCTAGGGCCCTAGGCGGGGCCCCGGCGGAGCTCACCGCGTGCAGCTCCAGTAGCATCGCCTGTGAATGCGCGGCAGGGCCGAAGGCCGGGCCGCAGGCCGGCGGCAATGATGAGCACCTCGAACTGGCCCAGGTCTTGGCCCAAACGCTCCTTCACCTCCTGAGAAGAAGAGCGCCCACCGCGACCACCGCGCCCACCGCTCCCTCCGCTCCGCCCCGGTCTATAGACCGCTCCTCCAGCTTCTTCCGGACGTCGCCGAGTCTGAGAGTGGCGATTGCTTCACTTTTCTGTTCGGCTGCGCGGCTGCAGGGCGGCTGAGCGCCAGGCTCGCTCAGCTGGGCCGCCATCATGGCATTCTTCTCCTTCAGAGCCCAACAAACCCAACGCAACACACAGAGAGACAGAGAGAGAGACAGAGACGGAGACAGACAGAGCAGAGACTCGGAGACCGCCGGAGACCGGCGAAGGCCGGCGCCTGGAAGAGGCCGTTCTGCTTCTTCATTGCAGCGACCTCCTGCTCCAGGCCCTGCTTAAAGGTAGGGACGGCTCTGTGTCTTCGTCTCTGGGGCCGTGTGCCTGTGTTTTTCTCTTGCCGGGGGCCTGGCCTCGTGGGCATAGGCGGCGCCCGCACAAACGAAGCAGGCGAAGCACAGCCTCGCAGCGAGCGGATCCAGCGCAACTACTCCGCGCCGTCGGCCGATGCCCACGGGCTTTTAGACCCAGAAAATAGAAACCGCATCAACTCGATTCAACAGGCGAACAGGCCGCTCCAGTCCAGGCCCAGGCTCGAGCTTGCGGGTGCGTACGTCGCTCTGAAGAGCTTTGCAGCAAAGAGGTACACGAGAAGAACTGGCTAACCATACATACTATGACTATGCGGACTATGTAGGTTTACCTCATCTCTGTTCCGCACGCACGTCCTGCGTCTGCGTCACGTGCAAGTCATGCATGCTCCAAGTGGAAGTCTCTCCCCTCCATGTCGCTGAGGTTCGGACAGCAAGGAGGCGAAGGCCTCAGACACCGCCGTTCTTATAGAGATGCGAAAAGAGCGCCCGCCGCGTCATCTTTGACCGCTGGGCTCGAGGCCGCGAAGCCGTCGGGGCTAGCGCCCAGCTGAGCGAAAGCAGCTGTGGCGTCAGGGAAGTGAAATTGGCGGCGGCTCTTTTCTGGCTCTGCTCGGCTCTGCTGTGTGAGGCTTTGACCAGGGGGAGTTCTGTCTGCAGGCCCGTCCTTGCAAGAAGACGCTCGCTTCGAGCCCACGCTACCGGCCAAAACGAGGCCAAGACGAGGCCAAGAGTGCCAGCAGTAGTGCCAGCAGCATTCCTCTGCAAGGCCCAGGACAGTTCTCATCGGAGAATGCTTCTTCAGCACTGCTGGAATCCCTCCTGCAAGGAAGGTGTACGTCACCAAGCGGAAGAAGCCGAAAGGGCCAAGCCAGCCACCTGGAGGGGCCTGTGGAGACGCCGCAGATTGCACTCTCTCTGCGCCCCCTTTCCTTCGGCCCCCCGGCTGGCAGACCACAGCACTGGACCACCTGCGGGCGCGCAGGCGCGCAGACGCGGTGTGTATAATGCTTCCCCGTCCCCGGCCGGAGCACCTTGAAACCCGAGGAAAGCAGCTCGGAGAAGCCAAAGCTGCCTCCGAAGGAGCCTCCTCCAGAAGCCTCCGCGGCCGTCGTGGCCGGGCCAGCATCGCTCTTCGCCTCAAGAACTGCGGTGTCTCGTGTCTTTGCCTGTTTGTGCCTTTGCGTGGGGACGGCCACATCGCTCCACGAATATTTATAAACTTCGATCTGCGACAATCGCCGATGGAGCAGTCATGTGTCCGTGACACGGCCACGTGACTATGTAGAGTCGCTAGAACTTTCGTCGACATGTTATACGTGCAGACGGCGTATTCAACACCTCACGACAAGAGACAGCAGAGACCGCCCGTGTGCCGCGCCGCGAAACCTCTAGCTGGGCAGAAGCAGCTTGACTTCTTGCTCTACAAGATACTGTCGACTACATACTCGTAATTCAGCTCTCCCAGCTGCGGAAACTTCAGGCAAGGACTCAGGGAGAAAGGAAAAGAAAGAAGAGAGCTAATAATTAGAATCAGGGCGTTAGGGTCCATCTTTTGCGGTGGTGACCGCGTGCCTGGAAGAAGACCAGCGCGAGCATCGTGAGTCTTTTCTATGTGAGCAAAGAGGAACACGAGGAGGAGGAGGAGGAGAAGGGGGGAGGGAGGCAGGCTGGTGCGGAAGAGACGGCGATGGCTACTGTGGAAAGCAACATGATCATGGAAGAGGGTCCGGATCTTCCCCAGAGTTCTCTGAGCGTGTGATGCATCCGGAAGGAATCCCGACCCCGTGTCATGCCTGGGATGGAAACAAGGATCCCCAGCTTTGCCTTGATCACGGGCATCGGCCCCTTGACTGAGCACACGCTTTCTTACTACATGGGCCCTTCCTGAGCTGTTGCCGAACTTGGTCACGGTGTGCGTGCAACAGGCGGCGCGTTTAGTACGCGGTCTGCAGCCTGCGTGGCGGAGGGGTGAATTGGCTTCAGAGCGAAGTCAAAAGCACACAAAGTTTTAGTATTTTAGCCTTTTGTCTGTGTCACATCACAATGCTCTGCCGCTACACAATGTTTCACATCCTGTCAGAACGAAATGCAAAACAATGCATAGTTTGCGAGCGCAGGGTAGTTTGGATCTGTTTTTGCTTCGGTGGCAAACTCGTTGTACAAGAGTCTTTGATTGTCTTGCTGCTTCATGAGTATTGGAATGTGTAGCATGCCGGCATGTCGGCATATGCGTTTCATGAATGTTGGACTGTGTAGCTTGGCGGCATGTGTGTTTCATGAATGTTGGAATGTGTAGTATGTCGCTATTTGTGTTTCATTCGGTCCATGGAGGCCTTAGTCTGTGAGTTCGCAGCAGCGTGTCATTCGAGCCCAGACTTCCTGTGAGGGACAGATCGGACAGGGCAGACGTCGCTCATTCGTCCAGTCTTACTACCCCTTCATGGGCCATTCATGGGGCAACTGTGTGTGAAAAACCCTGAGGCCAAGGGCGCTTTCGAAGGTACCAATGAAACAAAAGAGTGCAGGGGGCCATCCCTCTTGTCATTGGTGGATGGCCAACGAAGAGGCCAATGACAAGAGCTGAAAACGTACCTGCACTCAAAAAGAGAACGAGGCAGTAGGCTACGACGAGTATAGGAATACGTGCTAACCCATGTTTGACTTCAGTCATCCTGGGGTCAAATCGTGTGTGTGTGTGTGTCTGTCTGTCTGTCTGTCTGTCCGTCTGTCTGTCTGTCTGTCTGTCTGTGTCTGTCTGTGTCTCTGTCTGTCTCTGTCTGTCTGTGTCTGTCTGTGTCTGTCTGTGTCTGTCTGTCTGTGTGTCTCCCTGTCTGTCTCTGTCTGTCTCTGTCTGTCTCTGTCTGTCTGTCTGTCT